TTATTTTTTTTGCTGGTAGAATTTTTTTAAATCACTTTGGTATCTTTTTTAACTCTAGTAGCATTCTATATTTTTGAATCACTTTGGTGTCGTTTTACCTCCAATAGTATTCTTGAATCTCTGATATTTTATATATCCTAATATAGATATAAATAACTAGCATAGAATTTAGACTAGTTTTTTAGTAATACTATATAATTTTTACAATCTAGTATAGGTTTAATAGTGCTATCTTTGTTTCTTTTCTTTTATTTTGTTTTTTTCTTTTATATGTTATCTTGGTTCTCTTTGTTTAGGTGGATCAAATTTGAATGCCAAGGTATCACTTCTTTTTTTCTTTTTTGCCCTTTAAATTTGTGTTTATATTTCATTTTGTAAAAAAAAAGATGATACTGATATGGCTTGTGCTACTGGCTAATGATCGAAGGATTCATATCTCTAGTAAGTTAGAGACCCGAAGGGAGGCAAACAGCTACTAGATGATATCACACCTGGACTGTTAAGTCAAGTGAGTCACTAGTTGCGGTTAAAGAAATAACTATAGTTAGGAATTTTTGTAATTTTTGCTTAGTTGATCTTCTAATAAAACAGTAGCAGGATATGCTGAAAAAAAAAAACTAAAAAGAAAAACAAGAAAAACAGCCTATAAAGTATTTACTATAGTTAAAATTTTACAACAGTAAGACTTATTTTTTTCTTGCTACTTTGATACTTCCAAAACTAAAATTTTGACAAAAAATAAAAGATTTAATTATCTTATCAAAAAATTAGTATTGTTTACTATTTCTATATTTAATAACTTTGTGATATAACTATAACAAATATATAGCAATATAAAAAGTTTATTTCTTATTTAAAAATATCACTCTATACAATTAAAGATTCAAATAGTATACTTATATCCCAAGTAGATGAATGGAGATAGCAAAAACATATGGAGTTGACAATTTGTTATACTTTAGAATAGAATATGAATTTAAAGTTGAGATAATAAAGAGAATTTGAAATATGTAATCTAATGACAAAAGTCATATACATATAATTTTTATGCCTCTGCATAGACCAAAATATATTTAATTTGGTTTTTTTATATATTATTTGAGTTCTATATAAATACTATAATCAAGTAGTTAAATATTTTGGCTAGCAGATACCAATTTGTTAAATAGATTCTTTAGTTTTATATTTGTACTTTAGATTTCTTATATTAGTTTAGTTATTTTTTTTTGTTTTATTTTAAAATATCTCCTTTCTTATATTTCTCCTTATCCTATTTTGCTCTTCAAATTTTGCTAGAAAATATTTCTTAGATTGGTGATATATTATATAAAATAGTGATTTTGACAAGGTCAGTAATCATCTACTGTAAACTCCTGGCATTTAAATTTTTAGTAAATTAAGAATCTCAAACAAGATAAATAAACTACCTAGGCGGATTGCACCTGGGTTCTCTTTGTGAAATCTATTTTTAGGTTCTGTTTTAATTACCGAGTAATTCTTTATTAGTACAGGCATATATAAATTTACAAGATAAATTAGCCTTTATTTGTATATTATACACTTGTTGTAAGCTATGCTAATTTATATAATAAAAAAAATCACAAACAAAAAAATAAAAAATAAAAATATTTTTTATAATTTATTATTTTGTCATGGTTTTGTATAAATTTTTTTTATAATAAATAATATTGTTATTTTAAAATAATGTCATTTCTCTTAAAAGTAACTACAAAATATTATAACCATAACTATTTTAAAAAAACACCAATGTAATCAACTAGGCACTGGGTAGATCCAGGCAATATGTATGCTATTTGTAAATTCTTTAGTTCAAATAAAGATTTCAGTAGCGCAACTGCCAAAGTGAAAAAAATAAAAATAAAATAAAAAAATAAGCTGCTCTATATAATTTTATATGCTGAAAAAGTTTACTTAAAGTCCACCATTATCAATTAGTAAAATTTTGAGTGATGCAGGATTTTCTTTATCTTTATTAATTAATAAAAATATAGAAAATTCTGCATCACTTAAAATTTTACTAATTGATATTAACTTTGGGCTCTAAGTAAACTTGTTATCTGAAATAACGCCTAGAAGAGTTAATTTAACTGAATGCGAACAATAATTTTTACTTAATGAAATCTTCGATTAAATTAACTCTCAGCTCTCTTTAACTTGTGGCGTTATTTCGAGACGATATGGTGCTGGTTTTTCTTTGGTAACACTAGACCTTGCTTTTATCGGCTTCTGTTAATGCTATAACATTCTTTTCGGGTTTCGGATGAACGAGTAAATTCACTTATCAAATGAAAGGCTACATAACTGATAATGAATCAATATTTATTAAGGCTTTTACTAGACTGCTCAAATTTTGAGGGAAACTTGGTCGAAAAAGTTATGATTCAGACCTTATTTTAAATGTCAGAAACTTTCACTTCTATGATTATTTCGTTATTATATACATTTCTGATATAATTATAGACCTAACATATCAATTTATTTAACAATCTTAGTCATTAAACCCCTCAATTTGAAAATGAACCCAAATTTTAATAATCAGCATTGATTTAATTTTAATTTGACCGATTCTTGAGTTTGATAACATTGATTGGAAATGAAACATATACTTGGATTTGGTTATTATCCAAAATGAAAGATTTCAAAACCCAAACTATGTAATAATGTCATTATTCAAAAGAAGGTTTGGGTCGTAACCCCAGTTTCAAGCTCATCTTCGTCTAAGTCCATTAGATCTAATTGAATGGATTTTTGGCCATCACCTGTGTATGATGGTATATATTCTTCGCATTGAATTGCGAGTTCGGCCTCATACTCATCTAACGTCGATTCTAAAAGTTAAATATTAGCATATATAAAAAATCTACAATACTTTGAGATACCACATAAATTATTGTAATAAGCACCTTGCATAATTTCTTGTAACAATTCGTCATCTATCATGTCTTCAACGGCATCAAGATTGTCGTCGTTCCAAAAAAATTTTCCATTCTTCAAGAATTTTTTTTTACAAACCATTGTTGTGCAACCTTTAATAAATTAAATATAACGTTACTTCAAAACATTTGCAATTTGTAGCCTAAACTGAAATATATGGAGCT